AGAGTATTTCAGGCATCCTGGGTAGAACTCAGAACATGGAAAACGCCGTCTGGGCAGACAGGGCTTCCCCCAGCAGGGCCGGCACCGCTGCCATGTGGCTCACTGAAGGCAGGGTCTCGCCCAGGTGCAGGTGGCTGCTGGGAGGGACCTTCCTGACACCCCCACCTGTGCCTGCCCCGCAGAAGGAGAGCCCTGTGCCCCCGGCTCCACGCACCTGCTTGACGGTGAAGTCGTTGATGAGGTGGTGGTTGTGCTCGTTGAGGCCGCAGTGCAGGCTCACGCAGTCGCTGTGGAAAAGCAGGTCCTGCAGGGTGCTGACCCGCTGCAGCCCCAGCGCCCGCTCCACGCCGTCCGACAGGTAAGGGTCGTAGAAGAGCACGTTGAAGCCGAAGGCCTTGGCCCGCAGCGCCACCGCCTGCCCCACGCGACCTGGTGGTGTCAGGACACAGTGTGAGACCCTCGCTCACCCGTGGCTGGGAGGCTGGCCCTGACAGCCAGGATCGGAGTGGCCCCTGTGCCTCAGTTTGACCATCTGCCAAGGAGGACACCAGCTGTGGTCAAGCCAAGGTGCCGGCGCGAGGTGTCTCCACACGAGGTGTCTGCTCCCAATGCGCCCACTGCCAAGGCGGAGGCTGTGCACAGGGGTGGAAAGGGTGCACGAGCCCCTCGGCCCACACCAGCTGCCAGCCACGCCCCCCCTGCAGCCTGTCCACAGGACGTGACACGAACCACTCAGTGTCAAACGGACCGTCAGCGGGTCTCCACTCACTCCACACACGCCCTATGTGCCCAGGTCCCTCCACTGGCCTGCTTTCCGGTCCACCCATCGATGTCTCTGGCATCTCAGTTCCAGCCACGACTAGGTGGAGACGGCAAAGGGGGCGGGAGGGAACCTTCCAGACCAGGGAGGCCCCGCTGGGCTCATGTCCTGTCCCCTTCGAGTGGAGTGGCAGAGAAAGCCACCCCGGGCAGACGTGCCTGCCCCGACCCCAGCAGTCCAAGGCTGGCGTGGGCCCCAGCACAGGAGCCACGGAGCCAGAGCCACCATTTCTGGCTCCGCCCCGGGGAAGGGTTGGCAGGGTGCATGCACCCACCGTGAGCCAACAGCACGGCTGCAAGGGACACAGGACCCCAGAAGCCCAGCCGCGGCTGCGAAGGACACGGGAACCCAAGCCCACCAATGTGGTGTCTCCTGCATCGCCTCAGAGGGAACCGCTGCACAGGAAGGAAGCAGGCTGGGCGCTGGGGCAGGTGGGAAGCGGGTGCAGTTTCAAAGGTGGCAGCCAGGGCAGGCCTCCCTGAGAAGACCAAGCTTGCTGGAGACATGAGGGGACGGGAAGGGAGCCGAAGAGCTGGAACAACACGTGTGAGGGGCCCACGGTGGTGGCGGCCTGAGGGCCAAGGAGGCCAGACCGCCAGGCAGACAGGGCAGCCAGACGTGGCCCAAACGCCCAGGGGACTCCCAGTCACTTGGGAACAGCCTGGGGGAGGCTGGGAGGCCAGTCAGAAGAGCTGAGGACCGTCTAAATACACTACATCCTAGAAAGGCAGGCACTTGTTCTACCAGAAGGAACATGGCAGCTCCTTTCATCCCCAGGGACGAGGCTGCTGCAGGAGGCAACCGGTCCGGGGAGGAGGGCTCGGCAGGCCGAGGTGGGAGCAGCAGTTCCGAGGTCAGTCACGGCCGGAGTACCCGGGCAGCTCCCCAGATGCAGGAACAGCCCCCGTCTGTCAGCACCCCCTGCCAGGGATCCCACCGAACGGGCAGGAGAGGGAGGAAGGCAGGCAGATAGGCAGACACAGAGAAAGGCACCTCCCACGGCACAGAAAGCAGAAAAGACGCTGTTTCCCACTCTGCTCAACAGAAAGCCCCAGGGAGTCCGGCTGCCGGTGGCGAAAACCAGCTAGAGGTGCAGGCCAGCGCCGGCCACATCTGACACAGGACAGCAGTGGCTGCTGGGGCGAGATTATTCTTCACTTTAGTCTCTGCCATTCTTTTCCATACAATGTCTGGCTTATGATAAGAAATTATGATGATGCAGGTGAAGAGGTAGGAAGATGTGGCTTCTAATTAGAATAAAACACTAGAAGAGGACAGACCTGCAGATGACCAAGGCTGGAATCAGCCAGCAAAAGCTCCTAAATAACTACTATAAACATGCTCAGAGATGACAGCAAGTGTTGATGTAAACAGCAGAAAAATGGAGGATTCTGGAAGACGAATGGCAACTCTATAAAGAACCACATAGAAATTCCAGAACGAAAACATCCCTCTGAAATGGAACTCCCTGGACGAAGCTAACAGCAAGAAAAGGATCGGGAGCTTGAAGGCTGGGGCTCAAAGTCAGCAGATGGCATCCAAACAGAAGCAGAGAGAAAAGAATTAAAAAAACTTTTTTTAAAGAACAGGCCGCGGCGGCTCACGCCTGTAATCCCAGCACTCTGGGAGGCCGAGGTGGGTGGATCATGAGGTCAGGAGTTCGAGACCAGCCTGAACACCATGGTGAAACCCTATCTCTACTAAAAATACAAAAAGTCAGCCAGGCGAGGTGGCGGGCGCCTGTAATCCCAGCTACTCGGGAGGCTGAGGCAGGAGAATGGCGTGAACCCAGGAGGTGGAGATTGCAGTGATCCGAGATCGCGCCACCATACTCCAGCCTGAGCGACAGAGCCAGACTCTATCTTCTACCAAAAAAAAAAAGGCAAAACACATTTTCAGACAAAAGCAGAGGGAATCGTTCACTGGTGAGCCACGTTTCTAACAGAGTCTGTAGGCTACAGGAACGTGATGCCCGACGACAGCCAGAATTGGGGGTGGGATAAATAAGGAGGCAGAAAGGGTGGATGTGTCGGTCAATATTCAAAAACAAAAATTACTGAAAAATTCCTTGAAACACTCATGACTGATAGCTTCTTGTATGGTTTACTGCATAACAGACGTGGAAAATCGGCCTGATGTTGAAAGACTCATGACCAATAGCTTCTTGTATGGTTTTCCGCACAACAGACGTAGAAAATGGGCCCGAGGGCAGCAGCCCAAGGGTGAGAGGAGCCACCGCAGGCCTCTTACCGCCCTCGACGAGGCTTCACAGGTTATGCCGGATGGCAGTGAGTTACGAAGGCATATCCTGATCTCTAAAGTAAAACTAAACACGATCACTAAGCAGTCGGTATAGCTTAAAAAGCAACAACAGATGCGAGGAATCATTTAACACTTGATTAACATACAAGAAGGCCAGAAAGGAAAAACAAGGATGAACAGAAAACATGTAGCCAGACGACACTGAAATCCAAATGAGCAGCAATTACACTAAAAATAAATGAACGGAACACTCAAGAGGCAAAGACTGTCAGACTGAAAAAAGAAAGAGGAACCAACTATAAACTATTAATAACAGACACACTTTAAACACACACACAGAAGCCAGGCGCCATGGCTCACACCGGTAATCCCAGCACTTTGGGAGGCCAAGGCAGGGTGACCACTTGAGCCCAGGAGTTTAAGACCATCCTGGGCAACACAGCAAGACCTTGTCTCTACCAAAATAATAATAATAACAATAATAATAATAAATTTTTAAAAATTGCAGTGGCACATACCTATAGTCCTAACTACTTCGGAGGCTAAGGCAAGAGGATCTCTCGAGCCCCAGTGCTCAAGGCTGCAGTGAGTCATGACTGACCACCACACTCCAGCCTGAGTGACAGAGCAAGACCATTCATCTGAATGATAAATATAAGAACAGAGATAAGCTGAAATTAAAAGAATGAAAAAAGACATACCACATAAACACTGATCAAAAGAGCTGGGATGGTTACCTCAACATCAGACCAATTAATTAGACCACAAAAAGATGAAAGCAAACGTCCTACTTAATGGTGAAATATCAAAAACTTTTTCTCCCACATCAAGACAGTAATACCTGCAAGTCACTGCTACTGACGATTGTAGCTAATGCAAAAAAGGCAAAAATAAAGAAATTAAAGAAATAAAAGGCACAGAGATCAGAAAGGAAAATGTAAATCTGTGTTTATCTGCAGGTGACACAGCAGTGTGTGCAAGAGAAAATTCAAGAGAATCTGTTTTTGGCAGAGGCAGGTCTCATTATGCCATCCAGGCTGGTCTCTAACTCCTGGTGATCCTCCGGCCTTGGCCTCATAACTCACTACAATAGCAGGCACAAGCCACTGCACCCAGCCTAATATGGAGAATTTAGAAGGCTGTGGGATATGAGGTTGGTTTACAAAACTCAAGTGTATTTCTACCCACTAATAACCAAACATCAAGAAACAATTAGGCTGGGCACAGTGGCTCATGCCTGTAATCCCAATACTTTGGGAGGCCAAGGCGAGTGGATCACTTGAAGTCAGGAGTTCGAGCCTGGCCAACACGGCGAAACCCCGTCTCTACTAAAAATACAAAAATTAACCAGGTGTAGTGGCATGCGTCTGTAATCCCAGCTACTCAGGAGGCTGAGGTAGGAGAATCGTTTGAACCCAGGAAGCGGAGGTTGCAGTGAGCTGAAATCACACCACTGTACTCCAGCCTGGGTGACAGAGTGAGACCATCTCAAAAAAACAAAGAAACAACAACAACAACAAAATTTGTAACGGCATTACAAATGCCAAATGCCTAACGATAAACTTAATGAACTACGTGGAAACCTTCTACTGATAACAATGAAACACTGTTAAGAAAAGTGAAAACAAATGGAGACATCGTATTTGTGTCCTGAAGATTCAATATTATTAGGAAGTCAGCGTTCCCAAAACTGATTTTAAGGACTCAACAAAATGAAAATTGACGAGCTGATTCCAGAATGGAAACGGAAATGCACAGCAGGACCTAAAACAGCCAAGACCCTTGTGAAGAACACGGTGGAAGATCTCAAGGCTCACAGCCGTGCAGACAGCGTAACACGGGAGACAGGGAAGAAAAACAGGTCCACGGAACAGAGGAGTCCAGACAGACCCACTCACGTGTGGCCAACTGCCTTTCTGCAGAGGAGCCACGCCAACGGGAAGGAGGGTGCCTCGGCGCATCGTGCCGCAGGGACCTGCCATCCCGGGAAAGGGCGGGCCGCGACCCCAGCCTCACACCACGCCTCAGTGGCAACCCAGAAGACCCTGGACCAAGAGGTAGAAGCTTCCAGAAGAAAACACAGAGAACCTGGATGACCCTGGGGTAAACAGAGATTCCTCAGGACACAAAAGGTATTCACCGAAAAAACGGGTGATACGCTGGGCTTCATAAAAACTGAAAACGTGTTCTCGTCAGAGAGATGTCAAGAAAGTGAAAAGTCAAGCCACGGCCTGAGATATTGGTAAATATGTAAAAACAAGCATTTTGAAATTATAAAAATATCCACAGTGCATGTCGATCTGACAAGAACCAGATGCAGACTACATGAGGGCTTCGTAACCAACATGGAAAAGAAGGTGCTCCCAGTGGCCGGGGTATAAAGAGGTGCTCAACTCCCTCAGTTATCGGGAAACTGTAGGTTAAAATAAAAATATCACAAAATTCCTGCTGGAAGGGCTAGAATTACACAGACTCCAACACGGAGTGCTGGCAAGGATATGCGGCTGCCAGAGCGTGACGTTGTGCACTTGCCTGAAGAACAGCAACTCCTTCCACGTGAAACAATGTCCTGCTCTGGGACTCAGAAACTCCACTGCTAGGTACAAACCCAAGAGGCATGAGCCGTCTATGTGCACAAAAAAGACGGGCAGAAATGTGTTCACAGAAGTTTTGTTTGTGATATTGGCCAAAAGCTTAGAAAATGCATCACCAAGAGTCTGGAGAAGCGAATCGTGCTGTGTTCACGTTATCAGAAACTGTGGGCCATGCGAAAACGCAGATGAGACCCGGAGGCATCACCCCGACTGACGCGAGGCCGACACAGAAGGCTGCGTGCCCGCAATCCCACCTCGGCAGAGCCGGGGAAGGCCCTCTGCTCTAGGAAGCGGGACCCAGGTCATTGCGGGGCTGCGGCGAGAGAAGGGGGCCCGAGGCAGCTGTGTGCAGAAGCCTGCTCTGTTGACGTGCTGGTGGGTTTTTTGTACAATGTTTTCCTGTGTGCACCTAAGATAGTGCGTTTTTCAGAAGGAAGGAAGGAAGGAGGGAGGGAGGAAAGAAAAAAACAAGAAGCAGACGTAAGTCACAGCACCAGAGCCTCGTAGAGCAGAAGCGGCCACCGCCTCGTCACACCGAGTGGCAGCAACACCGTGAACCACAGACTGCCCAGAGCTTCCACCTTCCTGTAGTCACCACACGCGTGGATTCCACGCTAAGAACAACCCAGACACAGGGTGTGCCCAGCAGAGAGCAGATCGGGACAGGCACACCCTGGGAGAGCCTGAGTGGCTGGTGCCCAGCACGGGCCCCACCCAGAGCACGAGGCTCTTCCAGAGGGTGGGGATGGGGTTCAGGGACAAGGGCGAGGGGCAGGGGGGCGCAGGTGCCAGGTGGGCGGCCAGGCTGGGGTAGGGGGTCCCTGTCCACGAGGTAGAGGCTGCAGCGTCAGGGGACTTGTGCCCCTAAGGACAGAACTGCTCTCCTCAGCTCCCGAGGCTGAGGGAGCTTGGACCTGGCCTGGGTCACCAAGAGTTCACCACAGGTAGAGAGGCCCGCGCCCAGAGCAAGGGAAGCAGCCCAGCCGCTCCAGGGACGCCTGCCTGAGAGCCCACAGGACGACCTGGGCCACTGCAGGGGAGAACGCCCATGGCAGACCCCCACAACCTGCCAGGTCCACCCTGCACTCCCCAGGACGCCAGGACCCACCCGCACTCCTCAGGCCAGGCCTGGGTGGGGGCTTTAGCAGGTGGGGTCCTCAAGGAAGGGGGTGGCCACAGCCCTGCTCTCTGAGGCCATTCTGACCTGGGTGCTCCAATCCCCACTCAGCACGGGGCCCTGGGAGGGGCCGGCTGGGCCCAGTTCCACACTCAGCCTGGGCAGGCGCCACCCTCAGGCCTCAGAGTGGCCACGGGGAGGGTGGGGCCTTCAGGGCCGGAACCACAGACCCCAACCCCAAGAGAGACAGGTTACAGGACTCTGGAGACCACACACCCACCTGCTCTTACCAGGGGAACTACAGACATCCCTGGCCACACACAGACACAGCCCACAACCCCCCACATCCCAGTCCCTCATACACCCCAGGTGAGGTGTCAGACCTGTGGCTGCGGGACAGGCGGCGCCCTGCAGGCAAGGCACACGAGGCCCCTCCCGCCCTGTGGGCTTGCTCTGGAGACAGCTGAGGCACTGCTCCTGCACAAGGCCGGTGGACAGCCCATGGAGCTGAAGGTCCACAGAGCCCTGAGTCCCCGGCCCCTTCTGACCTCTGCCCCGACCTACCCACTCTCCCTCCTTCCCTCCTTCAACAAACCACACACGGGCCATGGCCCTGAGGCGGGAGGGGCCGCCCAGGCCTCAGAAGGGCAGAGGTATGAGGAATGGGCACCTCAGGGCTCCGGGATCCTCACAGGTTCCAGCCAGCCCTGGGGTCCTGGTGGGGGCACCAGCAAGGCTGTGAGAGATGTGTCCAGGAAGAAACAAGCACGTGTTCCATGCACATCCGTGAGCTAGCCTCTCCCACTAACCCAGGTGTGTCTGCCTCACCGAGACCACCCGAAACATCTGATTTCCCACACGCTGCCGGGACAAGGACAGCGGTCAGCAGGAGTGGGCTGCCTGGATGTTTGGGAAGCGGGGGGCCGGCCGGTCAAGGGGAATCCCCGGCACGGCAAGGTCCTCGCATCCCCACGGGGCCTCCTGGGGAATGGCGCAGGCAGCTCCTAGGAACCCACAATCTGGGGAGACAGGCACCTGGGCTAAGGTGTCCAGGGGGTCTTCAGAAAAGGGACACCACCCCCCACCCACCCTAAGAACCCTCTACGGCAGCACCTTCCTACCTCCCACCTCACACCTGGGCCCCTCCCAGATGCTCCCCCGTGACCTCACTTGGCCTCTCCCAGCTCCTCTCTCTCAAGACATGGCTCCACTCTAGGATCACACACACACACACACACACACACACACACACACACACACACGCTTGCTGCTCTGAGCTCAACCTGGGCCTGGCTGTGTGGGGCCTGCTCACTGCTGCATGCTGGACCCAGGACGGTGCTGGCCCCAGGACAGGCGGCTGCAGAGCGAGTGGGCAAATGAAGAGCAAGGGGTTGCTGAGGGGCAAACCACTCCCCGGGTGCAGGGCCGGCTGCTGGTGACAGCGGAGGAAGCCCGCGGCTGCCCGAACCCCAGCCCCAGCAGGACCCACGCAGCCAGCCCCAGAGGCCTCAAGGGGTGAGCGCGTGCTAGACTGTGGTTGATGTGTGTGCCCACACGTATGCCCGTGTCTATCTGCTTATGTGCCCATGACTGACATCGGTGTGTGTCCACGTGGTATCATGTGTATGCTGTGATATCCGTGTGATGCCCATGTGTGCCGTGTGATATCCGTGTGTGCCGTGACATCTGCATGTCCCCGTGTGGCCCGTGTGTGCTGTGACATCCACATGTGATGTCTGTGTGGAGTTCACGTGTGTGTGACGTCCGTGTGATGTCTGTGCAGGCCTGAGACCCATGTGTGTGCTGTGTGAGGCTGTGGGTGCTATGACGTCTGTGTTGTCTGTGTGTACCTGTGTAAGGCCCATGTGTGTGTTGTGATGTCCATGTGTGATGTCTGAGGCCCACACGTGTGCTGTGGCATGTGGGACATCAGTGCAGGCCTGTGTGAGGCCCACATGTGTGCTGTGACATCCGTGTATGATGTCTGTGTGTGCAGTGATGTCTGCGTGAGGCCCATGTGTGCTGTGGTGTTCTATGTGATATCTGTACAGGCCGTGTGTGCTATGACGTCCATGCAGGCCGGTGTGAGACCCACGTGTGTATTGTGATATCTGTGTGAGGCTATGTGCTGTGACATCCATGTATTATGTGTGTGCCCTTGAGGTCCATGTGTGTGCTGTGACGTCCATGTGTCATGTCTGTGTGTGCCCATGCGGTCATGTGTACTGTGGCATCTGTGAGGCCACGTGTGCTGTGGCACATGTGCCATCCGTGCAGGCCTGTATGTGTGCTGTGACGTCTGTGTGTGATGTCAGTGTGTGCCGTGCTGTCTGTGTGAGGCTCACACGTGTGCTGTGGTGTTGTGATATCTGTGAAGGCCAGTGTGAGACCCATGTGTGTGCTGTGATGTCTGTGTGAGGCTGTGTGTGCTGTGACATCCGTGTGTGCTGTGACATCCGCGTGTGCTGTGACATCCGCGTGTGCTGTGACATCCGTGTGTGCCCGTGTAAGGCGCACATGTGTGCTGTGACGTCCGCGTACGTAGGGCACACAGCCTGGGATTCCTGGGCCCTGGCGCCTGGGCTGCACTCAGTCCTGTCCTGGGTTGGGACCGATACCCGCAGCCCCACCCCGCCCTGGGCCTCTCCTTCGGGGCACGGCAGAAGAGCAGCAGCGCCAGACACAGGGAGGGGCACAGGCACGGAGCTGTGGCTGACGCACCGAGTCCGATGATGCCCAAGGTCTCCCCACGGATCCTGGCGGCGCCGGACGCCACCTCGCGGATCTGCTCGACGCTCTGGACTCGCGTGCCCTCCCGCAATGCCTGGTGCAGCCAGGTGGCCCGCCGGTACAGGTTCAGGATGTGGCACAGCGTCGAGTCGGCCGTCTCCTCCACAGACGCCGCAGGCACGTTGCAGACGGCGATGCCTGTGGGGACAAGGACACGGCGGTCACCTCCAGGCCAGGCCCAGCCTCTGGGAGGACACCAGGGCTACTGTGGCTGGAGCAGGTTTGAAGCTTCTCAAGGAAGAAGCCAAAGGCCACGTCCCCAAGGCCACCCTGGGAGGCCACGAAATGAACGCACATCTCCCAGGCTCGGGGGCAACAGAGCACCTGGCCTGGCGCCTGTGCCCTGTGGCTGGAGCCCCACCTCCACTTTAGGTTCACGTGGCAGCACACGCTCGGCAACTGCTCGGTGTGTGGTGGGGCCACGGCGTGAGACGCTGCCCTGACCCCTCCCAACTCAGCATTGGGAGCCCAGGCAGAGACAAGCACATGTCTCCCCGCGTCACCTCGCTGCCCTGATTCCTCCAGGGGGACCCTGCGGGGAGGCTGCGGCCAGGTCAGAATCTGGGTGCTGGCCCCACCTGCACACCCCTACATGGACATCCGCACATGTCCTCAGGCCTCCCCCAGGCCAAGCCAGGCCCCCGCAGCCCCTTCCGCCCTCCATGCCCTACACCCCGCAGTCAATAACACTGAAGCTGGAGCCATTCCTGGAAAGCAAATCCATCCCATTTCTCTCGAGTGTAACCCCTACTGCCCGCTCCCAGCCTTGTCCCAGAGGCAGGCCCTTCCCCGGCCAGGGCCCCTTCCTAAGCCTATTTATCCTCATCCCTGGCCCGTCCCTGGCCAGCGCCTCCCCTGCACGGCACTTCCCGCCCCATTCAGATGATTGCACTCCTGCGTCTGACTGGCCGTCCGTCTCTCTGGGGAGGAGAAAGGGGCAGGAGGCCAGGACAGGGCTGCATTCATATGCCCGGAGGCTGGACAGGACCGGGTGGTTCTGCAAGGGGTTCCGAGGGTCAGGAGGCGGCCTGACGTGGGGCAGCGCGGGCAGGCGCTGCACAAGGCCAAGGGTGGGATCCCACATCGCCCCAGACACAACTCACTTGGACGTAAAAACGTTAAACAAGGGAGACTGAGGGAGAGCCAAGCCAAGTACCACACGAGATTGGAAGAAAGGCCTCCTGACTGTGGGGCGTCGGAGCGTGGGCCAGATCCCAGCGGCGCCCCAGACTGTCCCTGGCTGAAGAACAGAGCCCGGGCCTGGGAAACTCCACAGGCAACGGAGATGGTAAACAGCAGGGGTCGCTCAGAAAGCACCAGGCCTGCGCCCGACACTGCACAGCCAGGACTGCACCCAACACCGCACAGCCAGGCCTGCGCCTGACACCACAGCCGGCCTTTCCCAGGATGCCGTCACAGAGACAAAGGCAGGAGGGGGCTGGCACATGGCTTTGGCCCATGGGCACCGGCGGAAGCAGCAGTGAGCCGAGATCGCGCCACTGCACTCCAGCCTGGGCAACAGAGCAAGACTCTGTCTCAAAAAAAAAAACCAACAAAAACAACCCACAACAGACGGAGCCTGGCAGAAAACAAAGTGCGCTCCACGCAGGACGGCCAAGCACCGCCCTGATTTGTTCTAAATGAGTGCGCAGGGGTGCAGACACGTGGGCACGTTCCGTGTGCGTGTGTAGGTGCATGGGTACGGACGTGCGTATTCTGTGAGTGTTCCATGTGCTGAGTACACGAGCATAGGTGCAGACACGTCTGCGTGTTCTGTGTGCTGTGTGCGTGTTCCGTGTGCTAAGTGCACGTGCACGGGTGTGGATGTGCGTGTCCTCTGAGTGTTCCATGTGCTGACGGTACATGAACGGATGCAGATGCATGTGCATGTTCTGTGTGCTGTGTGCACATTCCGAGTACTTAGTGCACGTGCATGGGTGCAGATTGTGTGTTCCGCGTGCTGACCGCACGTGCACGGGTGCAGATGTGCGTGCATGCTCTGTGTGTTGAGTGTACATGTTCTGTGTGCTGAGTGCACGTGCACGGGTGCAGATGTGCGTGTTCTGTGTGTGTGTTCCACGTGCTGAGTGCATGTGTACTGGGTTGCGACACACCCCGCTGTTCCCGCTGTGTCTTGGGACAGAGACCTATGAGCCCTATTACAGCCACACTCTGACGCCCCTGCCCCTCACCCCCAGGGCCCCGGTACCCAAGCAAGGGGCACCAGCTAGACATGCATGCAGACCTGTGCAGCTGGTCGCAGCTGGATTTCCTACTGCCCAAAAGAGAGGAAGTGCCCCGAGGTGAGGCTCTGTGAGGAACAGAACGGCTGCAGCCTCACGCTGGCCCTAGATGGGACTGCACGCCACAGCCAGCCACACCAGGCGATGTGCAACGGGGTCCTTGGTGTGGCAGTGAAGCCTCCATGGATGAAGCAAGACGGGACGGAGCTCGCATGCATGGGCACAGGAGATAATTCGGAGCCGGCCTACCTAAATCCCCGGCCGACTTGATGTCAATGTTGTCAAAACCACTGCCGATCCGGACGATGATGCGGAGGGCTTTGAACTTCTCCAGGTCCTCCCTGGTGAGTGTGATGGTGTGGTACATCAGGGCCCCCACGGCCTCGTTCAGGACCTACAGCGAGGAGAAAACACACGGGCTGAGCCCGGCGCCTGCAGAGCCTCAAGCTTGGCCTTCGGGGGTGGGGCTGAGCCTGGCTGGAAACTAGTCTGTGGCCCTCAGGCTCTGTTCCCCAAGCACCAGCCTGGACACTGGGGGAGACCACATGAACACCTCCCCACCATGCGCTACCCCTCAATCCCTGCCCAGGCATCTCGAGTCCCAGCAATTCCTGCCGCAGCGTCCTCAGCCATGTGTAGGCTGCAGGCTGGCACTGGTCAGAGTCACCTGCTTCCCAGTGTGGCAGCTGAGATGTTTCCTTTTGAGTGTGCGCCCCACCCTGAGACTCTGCCCAGCCTTGTGGAAGAAATGGGGTTGCACCAGGCAAGGACACAGGACGGGGGGTGCAGTCACACCCAGGAAGGATGCTGAGCAGGCGCGGCTGGGTGGGGGCGGCCTGGGCACCTGAGACCTGCAGGCCCAGGGGTGCGGGTAAAAAGTGATAAGTCCCTGGGGCACACAAGCACGTGGGCAGAGACAGACAGGGGCCACCCAGCCACAAGGACACCACCACAGGAGCACACACTGCCCCCGTGTCGCCTGAGAACCCGCCCAGAAATGCTGCCCACAGCGGGCACAGCATGGCTAGCAAGGCTTGGGTTTGAGCTATGTTCATAACAGTCATGCTTGTAATTTCAGTTTCCATGACAAATTCTAGACCGGAACGAATTCCGACAAATGCAGACCCAGCACACAGCACAGCAGCCCAACCCTGGCGCCTCCACTCAGCCAGCACCAGGTGTTGCTGTGGTCACCGCCAACCCCGCCCTACCAAGGGCTCCCAGTTACCCCCAGTCCAGGGAGGGCGGGGCAGCGTGGGGTGCAGAGGCACATAGGTGGAGGAAGTGCCCTAGGCAGAAGAACCACGCACGGCACTGGGCACAGGGTGGGGGTGTGTGTGTACCACCTGTGCATCTACCCACACCTGAAAACACCCACCCACACACGTGCATCCACACTCGTGCATCCCACACTCACGCATCCCACACTCGTGTGTGACAACGCCCACCGTGGGTGCAAAGGGGCTCTATGCAAACAGCTACGGCTCAGGACACCAGGACGCGCAGGCCTCGTCCACATGGGCACGTCTGAGTCCCGGGAGACACCACTGAGCCTCCCGTGAAGACGTGACTCCCACCCGCCCCCTGCCAGCAGGGCCCCAGGTACTCCTGACCGACCAACACCACGGGCTCAGCACAGAGCTCGCCGGGGCCTAGGCAGCATCTTTCCCTCCCTTCCCGCCGTACGTGGAGCCTGCCGATCCTGGGCGGCAGTGCCTGGGTTGCTGGACCGCAGGGTGTCCTGTGGGAGCTGACTCTGCCCGGGCCCTGGGTAGAGCAGCTGGTGTTGGGCAGGCACACGTTGGGGGGGGGTGAGGGCAGCCCCCAGGAAGACGCTCACCACCCAGCTGCAACCCCTTCTCCTCCAGTGCCCGGACCTCCAGCTCAGCCAGAACAGATGGTTCCCTTTGAGGCTGGCACAGCCTCCCTTCCCTCCTGCCCACTGCAGGGGACCTAGAGGATGGGACCATGGGGGACCACACAGACCAGGGCCATGGCAGAGGCTGGGCAGCAGGGCAGGGGAGCCCCGGGTTGGCCTAGGCGTTCTCCAGGACAAAGGGAAAGTTGGAGCAGCTCGGCCACAGGAGGCAGGGAGGCATCTGCCCAGATCGCAGAGGAATGGGTGTAGCACTCATCAGTTCACAGACAGGGCTGATGGCTGCCCCGGGCCTCCTGGGAAGGCTTTGAGGCTGCATACGTGCAGACCCCTAGTGCACCAGACACAGTGTGGACGGGGCGACCCCTGGTGTACCAGACCTGACCAGATGTAGTGTGGACTGGGAGAGGCCACAAGGAGGACAGCACGGGCAGAGGCCAGCAGTGGGTGACTGGTGCACGGCCGTGGGTAGCGGCGAGCGGTGCAGCCAGAAAGACCCCTGTGCTGTGTGGATTGGAGATGGGCGCCCACACCCCCAGGAGGTGCCTTGGGCAGCTTGGCAGAACAGCTGCAGCTAAGAGGGAGTCGCTTGCAGGTGAAGCTTCGTCGGTACCCACTGTGGGCAGGAGGCGCTGTGCGTGCGAGTGGTGGGCAGAGGCGCAGTGGGAGATGGGCCATGGGGTAAGGGACAGGCCTGGCGCCAGACATGAGCCCGGGGGCCCGGCCTGGACAGCTGGACATGCAGGGGCTGCTTCCACGGTGTGCACACAGAGGCTTGGCATGGACAGGCTGGAGAGACCCACACCACACGGGCTTGTGTGTACGCAGGGAACAGCTTGCTTTCACTCTGAGCATCGGCCATGGGCTTTGAAAAGTCGGTTCTGAACTGCGGCACGTCACCTCCCGCACATTCGGATCAGACGGCGATCGATTCATGTGAATATGAAGAATATTCATGTGTGCGGCCTTAAGGTTGCTTCCCGCGTTGGCTCTTCTGCGATGAACATTTTTTTATCTCATCGAGATAAGTTCTGAGAAGACGAAACGTGCACCGGCCGAGGGCCTCCTTCGGGCTCTGGGCTCAACCAGCTGCAGAGGCTGAAGACCCAGCTGAGCTGGGAAGTGCAAGCTGCCCCCTGACGAGGCTTTACTCACTTGCCCGGGCACGTTTCTTGACGCACTTCAGGACCTTGCCCTTCTCCTTACTGAATATATTTTTAACAACGTATTAGGTGAATGCGTTCTCACTACAGGAATCTCAACATGGCTCGGAGACCCCATGCCCCAACCGCAGCCACGTACCAGGTTGGCCTGTGCTCAGCTGCAGTGCCAGAGCCGCTAGCGTGTACGCTTTACCACGTGGCGGCCACATCATCCACAGGTCCACAGACCAGGGTGCCACAGTGGCTCGTCAGCCTCGGGGTCTACCTTCCTGTCCCCCTCGTGGCTGCCACATGGCTGCTCCACCCTGCCTACTGCCTCAGTCTCCCACGGAGGAAGTCTGCAGGAGGTGGGTACAGCCAGCTGTGCTCCTTTAGATCAGGACCCAGCAGCCTCCCAGAAGCCACCCGCAGCCAGTACCCACTGGTGTGTCCCCTCCACCGCCAGGGGCTCAGCCCCCCTCTGCTCAGTGCCCTCAACTCCAGTGCTCAGAGCAGGCCTGGGGAAAGCCGGGTGCCCAGGAAGCTCGGCTGCCACCGGGCTAGAAACAGACCCCAGGACACCAGGAGGCTGCTGGTGGCAGCCAGCTCTTGGGGGTCAGGAAGGGGCCTGCCAGGCCCAACTCCGGCCATGCAGTTCCGCCACCTGCTTCTCCTGTGCTCAGGACTCAGTGACATCGCACTTACCTTTCCAGACCTCGTGCACAGGTGTGGCTTACTCTGAAACTGCTGCTCACATCAGGTCACCATCAGGGCAGATGCTTCTCTACGACACGCAGCCACATGCAGGCCCAGGGTGAGGCTGGGCCGAAGACCGCAGGTTTCAGATTTCCAGAGAAACTGCCAAAACCATCAAGACTGGTATGGCCGTTTCTGTTCCATATGAAGGGACAGGCTCAGGCTCCCTCAACATGGCTGGTGCAGGGCTCGGTGCAGGCCAGGCCAGTGGTTACCGGCGGTGACTGCTGCACCCATGAGAACCTGGGAGGGGCACCCCGGTTCTCATACATCGCTCTGTCTATACCCAAACGCCACTGCCCTCATCCATTTTCCGCTGGAATTTTTCTGTTTCCTACTGATTGGGAGGAGTCTCTGAATACACAAACTTTTACATTTATTTATATTACAGACAGGATCTCGCCGGACTGCAGTGGTGTAATCATGACTCACTGCAGACTTGACCTCCTAGGCTGAGGCGATCCTCCGGCCTTGGCCTCTGGATACACTGGGATTACAGGCACAGCCCCTGCACCAGCTCTGATTATATCAGACATTCACCCTTAGGCTGGCACACAAATTGAAAATACCCAACCCCTATCTCTCGCCTGTTTTTATTTTTAAAATTTGTTTTACTATGTCTTTCTTTTTTTCCTTTTTTTTGTTTAGACGGAGTCTCGCTCTGTTGCCCAGGCTGGAGTGCGGTGGCATAATCTTGGCTCGGTGCAACCTCTGCCTCTTGGATTGCAGAGATTCTCCTGCCTCAGCCTCCTGAGTATCTGGGACTATAGGCATGCATCACCATGCATGGCTAATTCTTGTATTTTCAGTAGAGACAGGGTTTCACCATGTTGCCCAGGCTGGTCTCGAACTCCTGACCTCAAGTGATCCGCCCGCCTCGGCCTCCTAAAGTGCTGGGATTATAGGCGTGAGCTGCTGCAACCGGCCTTGCAATGTTGTTATTTCTAATTGCCATTTAATCAAAGTGACCTTTTCCTCTCTAGTATCACATTTTCTACAGAAAGAGTTGTTATTTTCTGTGTTGTCATAACCTCAGTGAGTAAACACATTCTCTTGCAAATGTTCCTCTAACTGCTCTTCATTCAAACACGTGGCCGCTTCTGTGGGCAGTGAGCATCTGCGGTTGGGGGAGCTGCTGCCATTCCCGAATGGCTACCCCAGGGGCCCCAGAATTCACCGACTCCCCAGTTCTCAGCCCACACACCTGAAAAGCCACTGCCCGAGTCCTTGCGTCCTGCTGGGTGGGGCCGTCTCTGCTCCTCTGTCCTGTCCACTCTTGGTGGTACCAATACTGCCCAACTGGATCTTCTAGACCTGAGAGTGGGTCCTGGGGTCTGGACATGCACTGCGGGGGCCGCATTGCACCCACGGCTCAGCTGGGCACTGGACAGTGTGCCTGGAAACAGGCCCCAGTATACGGCATGGGGTATCCGTCCTCTTGCTCCTAGAAGCGACTGTGACCCGGTATTAAGGTCAGAGCCCACAGCAGCCTCTCTCTGTGCCGGCTGCCAGCAAGAGACCAAGGGGCTTGCCCCCCCCCCCCACTCCATCACCATGACAACGCCAGCCTGTGTGTTTTTCCCGGTCACCATGACAACGCCAGCCTGTTTTTCCTGGTCACCATGACAACTGCCAGCTTGTGTGTTTTTCCCGGATTTCTATCACTTCGTTTCCTGCACAGCCCCAGCACCTCTGTCCGGCGGGGCTTTCTGGCGGCCTCCCTACCCCCAAGGCCGGGAGATGCTTGTCTTGCAGGAGTGTGACTGTCCAGCTGGCTGCAGGTCGTTGCGGACCACTGCATCCTGTGCCCTCCCGGAGCTGCCCTGCCGCTCCAGGCCCCGCAGCCCACACCGGACGCAGCCTCCAGGCCCCAGGCCTTCCTTTTTCTTGCTCAGCAGTTTGATCAGATGTGCAGTGCTGGGCTGAAAACCCTTCTCCTACGGCAATTCCAAAGCAGGCGGGGGGTGCTGTGCTGAGTCTTGTGTCCTCGTCGGTGACATCCCCCCACCCACAGTATCAATAAAATCCTAATCCTGAACCTTAACAGCAGTGTGCCTCCCAGGCCCCAACATTCTTTCTGTTCTTCCTATGACCGCACTGACGGTATCACATTCTCTCCCTCCACGGCACTCAGACAGCAGCGACATCCAAACAGCTATGCGGGAAGTTTCTGCCCCAGGAGGCACAAATTCCTGACTAACAGTGACACATGAAGCAAGCGCTCAGTTTCCTCCCACGCCAAAGCCTGCAGACAGGTGGCCTGCAGCCCCCTCCACAGCCACGAGGGTCCCTGCCTCCTGTCTTGTTGCTCCACGGTTCCCAACACGGCTCCACTCATGGTCCCAGGTGGCTACCCAGGCTCCGCCCATCACAGCTGGCTTCCGGCCAGCAGGGACAGGGAAGGAATGGCAGGGAGAGGCCCTGCTCCCCTCTGTGCTGGAGTTCAGTCCTTTGGCCACCCCTAGTGGCAAGAAAGCATGGGCAGCCAGCTCCTCCTGCAGGACCACACACTGTGAAACAGGGACCCGGCATCCAGGCGGCCCCCTCAGATTCCACACGGAGCCCCGGGAGGCTGTGGCTTCTCTTCCCATCTCCAGCTTCTGCCATTTCCCTGTGTCTTCAAACTTCCTGTTTTTATTAGATTTTCACTCATGTTTTAAATTTCAAGCGTTCCTAGTTTCTGGGGGCTCCTTTCTGCGGCGCCTGCTCTCCTTCTGCTTAGGGGCTGCTTCTGACCCCTCCGGGATGCCAGGACCGTTCCCAACACTCATCTCTTCCAAGAATCCAGCTGCGTCCCCTGGGGTGGTTTTCTGTTTACCTTGTCCTCTCTCTGCCCTGGGCTGCGCAGTCTGGGTGGGGAGCAGGAAGTCTGTCTCACGCCAGGGCCCACGCCGGCCGCACCCCGACCACTGATTTGCATTTTGTATGAACCTGGCAAGGCAGTTTGGGATTACTGCAATTCTAGAAAAACATCTGTTTTGCCTTAGTTTTCCAGTTCGTTGGCAAAACTTGTTTCAGTGTTGCTTACAATATTGAAAGTTTTCGACGAGCCTCTTTTTCATTCCTACGTGTATATCTTTAATACAAACAGTTTCCCAATGAGAAAACTGTACCTAACCAAGGGCATTGTCAAAACCGAGCTGGTGCCACATGACTCCCTCAGGTGTGCACCACGGGCAGTTCACCCACAGCCCCTTGCATGCGTGTGGACACACCCATGTGATGTACCCACACGCTGATTCCAGACACTGGCCCGCCGGCAGATCCCCCACCTGCACCCCGGGCAACTGTTTCCGTCACGCTTACCCCGTCACCTGGGGATGAACAGATGATACAGCGTGCACCCCTTGAAACCAGCTTCTTCACTCACCACTGCGCTGCCGAGATCACCCAGGGTGTGGCAGGGACCCAGAGTTCACGCCTGTTGCTGAGGAGGACACTAAGCGAGGTGGCCAGTGTTCGCCCGGCCACTCACTCACTGAAGGGCAGCCTGGGGGATGGTCTTCTAGTTTGGGCTATGGTGAGTTAAGCTGCCAGGGAGCATGACGTGCAGGTCTGTGTGTGGACCCGCATTCCGAGTCTCCGGGATAAAGGTGTGTGGCCGCTGGGCATGGGGATGCGGCACATTACGAGTCTCCGGGATAAAGGGGTGTGGCTGCTGGGCGTGTGGATGTACGTTCCGAGGCTCCGGGATAAAGGAGCGTGGCCGCTGGGCGTGTGGATGTACGTTTCGAGGCTCCGGGATAAAGGGGTGTGGCCGCTGGGCGTGTGGACGCGCATTCCGAGTCCCCAGGATAAAGGGGTGTGGCCGCTGGGCGTGTGGATGCCGCACGTTCCGAGTCTCCGGGATAAAGGGGTGTGGCCGCTGGGCCTGTGGATGCGGCACGTTCCGAGGCTCCGGGATAAAGGAGCGTGGCCGCTGGGCGTGTGGATGCGGCACGTTCCGAGGCTCCGGGATAAAGTGAGCGTGGCCGCTGGGCCTGTGGATGCGGCACGTTCCGAGTCTCCGGGATAAAGGAGCGTGGCCGCTGGGCTACATTACAAGCACACATCTAACCCCATGAGAAACCGTGAAGAATCTCCCAGAGCGAATGCCCCGGCAGAGCTCCTGGCAGACTACGCACATTTTTAACATCAGGTTGTCTTCTGTCTGTTTTGGAAAAGCTTTTGCGGTCGTCATCATTTCCAGCCCCTTCCCTGTCTTGTTCTGAAGTTTCTGTGAGGGAGACTCTTCCTCATCTCGCCCTCTCCTGCGTTCCCGCGTTCCCTCCTCTCCACTGCTGCCCGGCCCGCTGGTAAACTCGCCCCTCAGTTCCCCCGTTCAGCTTCAGCATTTCTCAGATTCACATCTCATGTTCTCCTGACACTGCTACGCCCCGTTTCAGGGTCATCAGCTCTTCGTCGGGTGTCTGGTCCGGCCTCCTGGGGGCTGTGCTGGGGTGACTGGCCCGTGGGCAGCACAGGGAGCTCCTATGGGCGCCGCTTCCCTGGCTGGTGGGTTTTGTGCATCTCCTTGACTGCCTGGTTACCACTGCTTGTGTCTGACGGACCCCGCGCCAGACGAGGATTTCTAGAAATGACCTGAGGCCTGGGCTGATGCTGTCTTCCTCTACAGGGGCCGTCCCATTTCCTTCTGCACCTGGGGTCAGCAGTGCGGGGTCCCTGAAAATCCAGATTCAAGGTTTCTCAGACGTCAGTAGGCTGAGTGCCAACCGTGTGGCGAGTCAGAACCCAGGTCACCCTCACTCCAGGTGTCACCTTTTGGGCCATGGATATCCCGGCAGGGTCCCGCACCCAGCAAAGCCAAATTCAGCCTCTCAGCCACTTCTTCCAGAACAGCCAACGCCCCAGGCCAGAGTTGACGAGGCTCGCCCGTTTCTGCAGGCTCCGGGCCTCTCCGGGTTGCGGCCTGGGCCTGGCCCTATCCCGTGAGCTCCTGCGGGCCCAGATTCTTCATCTGTCTTCAGGAAAAAGCTGCTCTGAATCACGGATCCCTGGCTACGAGGAGCCGGACCGACCTAGCCCTCATCACGGAGGAGCCTGCGGAGCTCCTGAGCAAACACGAATCAGGAAAGCTGCCCAAAGGCTGCCCACTGCTGGACCACAACCAGGTCGTGGGCAATGCCGAGACCGCTGCGCATCTGAGGCGGGGGAAAGCACCTCACTCCACCCCCGCCACAGAAGGACCTGCTCCCTGGGAAAAACTGAAAATGAATCAAGAAGCCACAGGGAAACCCCGTGTCCACCTCCCGATGGGGCTCAGGGCAAACCCCACGTCCACCTCCCAGTGGAGAGCAGGAGAAACCCCGTGTACACCTCCCGAGGGGGCGCAGGGGAAACCCCGTGTCCACCTCCCGATGGGGCTCAGGAGAAACCCCGTGTCCACCTCCCGATGGGGTGCAGGAGAAACCCCGTGTCCACCTCCCGATGGGGTGCAGGGCAAACCCCGTGTCCACCTCCCGACGGGGCGCAGGGGAAACCCCATGTCCACCTCCCGATGGGGCTCAGGAGAAACCCCGTGTCCACCTCCCGATGGGGTGCAGGAGAAACCCCGTGTCCACCTCCCGATGGCGCAGGGCGACTGGAACAGAGGCCGCTCCTGCCCCAGTGGCACACAGACCCGCTCTGGCCTGGGCTTGCTGTGCTCCCGTCCCTCCCCACTCCCCTCCAGCATGTGGTTCTTCCAGCTCCACGCCAGCACATAGTGGTACCTTCTCGTGGATCTCCTGCGTGGACTGCGCGTCGCAGAAGGCCACAGTGGCCACGTCCTTCAGGATGGGCATCTCCACTGTGCAGTCCCGGCCGTCCAGCAGCGCCACCAGGGGCCGCGGGTGCAGGGGCCCGTTCATGATTGGAGGTCGGACGCCTGCAAGACAGAGGCAAGTGCTCAGCTTCGCACCACTGCGACCCTGCGGCCACAGCCCACTCCACGCCACCCACCGTGCACGGGTCAACGAGGGCTGACGCCCGGGGGTTTTCTATCCTATACGTTTTGTTATTTGTAAAAAGTAAATTAAAAATCCACGGGAAAGACAGACTCGTGTGTGCTTCAGTTCACCGACTCGAGTGGACACAGACTACAGACACCCACCACCATCCTCCTTGGGCGCCGGGCCTCCGAGACCCTCCCAGACCCTCCAAGGTCCCTCCGAGACCCCGAGACCCTCCCAGACCCTATGCGACCTTCCCAGGCCCTCCGAGACCCTCCGAGGCACTTCGAGACCCTCCGAGACCCCCCAAGGAACCTCCAGACCCTCCCAGGGACTCCAAGACCCTCCCAGACCCTCTGAGATCCCCCCCAAGATCCTCCCAGGCCCTCCGAGACCCATCAAGATACCTCCAGACCCTCCCAGGCCCTCCCAGACCCTCCGAGACCCCAGGGCAGCTCCGTGAGGCAGGGGGACAGGAGGGACCCGGACACTGGAGAACACAGATGGCAGCACGGGCCTTTGGGAACACAGTTGTCCCTTTCCTGCCTGGGCTACCGCGTGGCTGCCCGGAATCCCTGATGGGGTCACCAATGTTTCATGTGGGACGCCCCCCACGCTCTGCCTGGCATCACTTCCATTTACAGATTTGAAGGGAAAAGAAACAGAGCAAGGAAAGAAAAGGGCTAAAACCTATTAAAGTCCACTCTGTACCCAACCTTCCCAGAACGAGATGATTAAAGATCATTAACACCCACTCCTTCTGCGTATGACACAACTAAGCTTCACTGAGGCCAAGTGGAGAAATAAGGGCTCTGAGGCGTCACAGAAGCATGGCAGCTTCCAGGTACCGCCCAACGGCCCCGTGCCGGGCAGGGAGCACCAGGCAGGGCTACCGTCAGGCCCATGGCAGCTGCGCAGAGGCAGAGCTGGGGCCAGGGCCCAGCCGGTCCACCCCTAAAGACCGGCCCCAGGAGACCAAGCAGCCTCCAGAACCGTTCAGCCAGCAGGAGGGGAGGTGCAGGACAGAACCAAGAAACAGTGACCCAGCAGGCCCCCAGTGGCCGCGGCCACAAGCACGCTCAGCCCAGTCTCCTGCCCCATCCACCTGCTGGTGAGTAGAGGCCGCCGAGCTGCCAGTATCCAGGAAGCAGGGAAATGCCTCTTGGAACCCACGGCAGAGAAAAGAAATGCTGGTGGACAGCCCAGGGATGCAGTGGGCCTGCAGGGGACGGGGCATGGGTCTCCACTGACCACCCCAAAGCCAAGGGCTCCCAGTACGGCTGGGCCCATGACCCTCCCACAAGGTCCTTGCGCCCCAGCGTCCTCGGAGGAGCCACTGGCCATTCCGCCCACTTGCCTTCAAGACAGGAAAGGCACCAGGACCGACCCAGATCCCGAGCATGGGGTCTGCACGGTCAAAACCGTGTCCTGGTTCACCTTTCCTTCATTCCCTCCGGACTGCAGCTGCCCACGAGCACCACAGGCAGCCGCCCAGCGACACTGCACACGGCCTCCCTCTGCACACGGCCTTCCTCCCCACTGTGCGTGGTGATTACTTCTCATGAGAGGAAAGGTTTATGTTGCTGTTTCTGAGTGAGTGGACAGACATCTGCTCTCAGCGTCCTTGGATTTCACTTCTGACAAGGAAGGCGTGGACACGCAGGACCACTGCAGACCACTCGGCTGCATCGGAACTGCCTGGGGGGACTCCCGTGTGCTGGAGGAGTGGGAGCCAGGTCCCTCATCGGAACGGCCTGGAGGGACTCCGGGTGCTGGGTGAGTAGGAACCGTGTCCCCTGGTGGAACTGCCTGGGGGGACTCCTGTGTGCTGGAGGAGTGGGAACCGGGTCCCTCATCGGAACGGCCTGGGGGCACTCCCGGGTGCTGGGTAAGTGGGAACCGGGTCCCTCATCGGAACGGTCTGGGGGCACTCCCAGGTGCTGGGTAAGTGGGAACCGGGTCCCTCGTCGGAACTGCCTGTGGGGACTCCCGGGTGCTGGGTGAGTGGGAACCGTGTCCCCTGGTGGAACCGCCTGTGGGGACTCCCGTGTGTGGATGAGTGGGAACTGGGTCCCTCATTGGAACGGCCTGGAGGGACTCCCGGGTGCTGGGTGAGTGGGAGCTGGGTTCCTCAGCAGAACGGTGGGGAGGGAGGAGCAGGTGGAGACACGAGGCCCCATCAGGTTCAGGCACCCAAGGTGCCTCCTCACATCACCCACGAGCTGCCCCCGACCACCGTGCCAGGGTTCCCCTGGACAGCCCACCGATGCGGGCTTGGGGACACTCAGGAGGCTTCACATTCACACGGCCTGTGCTGAAGCAGGCTTTACAGCAACCCCCCAGCCCAAGGCTGTTTCCAGCTGCACGCACTTCCGGGCCAGAGAACACAGATCAACCACGAGGAACAGCTCCACCGGGGCCGCGGCCCCGCTCTTGGGCAGCCGGGTGGACACCTGAGATTTCCAGGGTTCCATGTGGGGCTCTGCCCTCCTGCTGGCGGCCTCCACGTGGAGGCCCTCCGTGCCTCTCGGACACTATTCGACAGAAACAGACAGCAGACACCACGGACAGGCCTGACCAGCTGTGCTCTGCCGCCAGGTGTGCAGGAAGCCCTCCCTCGAGGGACGCCCGTCCTCGCCCAGAGCACACTTGGGGCCAGGTGGCAGCAGTCAGGCCCGACGCCTGCACAGCCCAGGGCCCTCGACTTGATCCGAGGCAGTGCCTCCTCCACACGGTCGCAAAGAGACCGGCTGGCTTTGCCTGCCGCCGACGCCAGGAACTCCTACCAACCTGACATCTCTTAATATGGCCTCAGCTTCCACGACCATGAATTCGACTTTTCAAAGCTTTTTATCTTCAGGATCCCCAGGCAGAACCGCGTCCTGTCTCGGAGCCTCATCCCACGTCCTTAATTGTCTTGAGCCAAAGCGCTCAGGCTTCTGATCCACGGCAATCACTGAAGCCTGCGTCGGGGTCAAAGTCTTACTAAAAATCAAACACAAGAGACACATTAAAATGCCATCGAAGGTCCGACCAGAACTCACAGACTCCAGGGACCGCCTCAGAAGTGGACCTCACTGCATCTGCCACACCCGGGGCTGCTGTCCGGGACCTACCTGGACTCGGGAGCCTGCTGCCAGCCAGGGGCCCCGGCTCCTGCCGCACACACGAGGGGCGCTCACCCCGAGGTCGCAGTGCCAGGCCCGAGGCCAGGCCTCAGTGGCCCCTAGGCTGACTCTTGGAAACAGCCCCCCAGGGCTGCGGCCACCCCACAGGCTCTAGCCGCACCCAGATGTCCCCAGTGTTCAAAAACCAGGGGGTGGAGGGCACAGGGTGTGTGCTGTGGGCAGGGAAACTGCGGAAGGGCTCTGCCTCCTGTTCTGGAAGCTTCTATCTCATGTCACCGATTCCCGGGCCTCTGTGACCAGGCAAGGACGTGGAACTTCCCAGGAGCCACCGGGAGAGGAGCTGCTGGCTTTCCAGCATCCGGCCTGGTACTGCCTGCCCTGGGCCACGCCAGCTCCACCTCCGACCCTTGGTGCATCCCAGCGACATTCCCTCGATTCTCCCAAAAGCACGGCTCAGCTCTTCCTGACGGCTACGACCAGGGCCTCGCGGGAAGCTGAGGGCATGAACCCTGATGGCTGAATGGCACAGGGGCAGGGGGCACCTGAGGGGGCCAAGCCTTCCAGGAACGCAGCCCTGCAAGGTAGAGGGTGCTGGGAGTGCACACGATCGCCCAGCCCTCGGGAGGGTGTCACTGAGCAACCCACACCTGACCCCTGCTCTGGCATGAAGACACAGCACAGGCGCTGACCCCAACGTGCAGCTGACATCAGGCTAACCAGGACAGGAGCCAGCCACCACCAGCCCAGCAGCGTGGCAGGCATGGGCAGAGACGACTGCCTGCCAGGCCAGGAGGGGCCACTCAGTCAAGCCTAAGACCCTGGTGGTGCGCCGTAAGGCCAACCCCTGCCAGAGGCCTCGCAGACAAATCTCCGCCCCTCAATTCCCTCTGCAGGATTCAAGCATACAGGCTGACCGCCTCCAGCTTCCAGAGACACCATCACAGGGGCTGAGGTGTAGCCCCACACACACAGCTCCCATCCAGGGTCCCCAACACCACTCCTCATGGCAGGTGCTGTATGGGGCTCCCGATGGAGGGCCCAAGAGCAACTGTGGAGTGGGATCCCACTGCCTGCGTCTGGGCCCCCTATGACCTGCGCTGCAGCCTCCTGCCCTGAAGGCCAGATCCCCCCGTGGCACCCGGATCCTGCATAAACACAGAAACTAAAAGGACAGGAGAAAACCACCTGAATGTCACACTTCACCCACGAACCAGCCTGGCCAGGGGGCAAAGCACCACGCCACCCACGCCCAGTCAAACTCATCAACACCAGCCAGTACTCATCAATACTGCCCACAGCACCACGGCGCCGGCCGCTGCTCCTGGAGGCTCATCAACACCCCTCAATACCACTCAATGCTTATCAATACTGGCCAGTATGTACCCACACCTGTGTCTCTGAGGAGGAAGCAGATGTAGGAAGGCCACCCTGGCCCTCCTGAAAAGACTCTGCAGTGAGCAGGCCGTGAGCTCCCGAGCCGAGGAACCTGCGGCAGGACTCCTGTGGCCCTGCACTCCCCGGGGTGGCCCTGCCAGGGCCCCGTGCCACAGGGACCTCCTGCGGCTCCTTGTTCCAAGGCTGCCCCAGTTCAGGACAGACACCTGAGGCCCAGCACCTGGTTCTCCTCCAGGGGCCTCTGTTTCAGAAACAGCCCTGGGGCAGGTCTGCCCACCATCTGCACCACCTGGGGCCACAGTGCACCCACAAAGCAGCCCCCTGCTGGGCCACACCTGCCCCACTGACAGCCAGCGTCTGAGTCCTGGAGCCCCCACCCAGGGTGACGCCGGAGGCCCTGGGCACCTCACGCCAGGGAGCTGACCTCCTACGGCCCTCCTGGCTGGCCGGTCAGGGTCAAGGGCTCCAGCTCTGTACCTCCCCCACACGCTCCGAGGTGAAGGCACTCGGCTCCCAGAGGGGCCTGCGCTGTCCAAACCCAGGACCCACACTGCTTTTCCTCATCAAAAACTCACAGCCGCACACGGCTCTCAGCACAGCAACACAAGGACAGTCTCCAGGTTCTCATCCTGCAGACGCTTAACCTTACGTTATAAGAAAGCACTCAACAGACCCACAAGGGAAGTGACTGCAGCGCACGTGGGAAGCTTGCGCTAACTTCCTATTTTCCTATAAAGCTAAGACTGTTCTAAAATAAAAATTCATTTTAAAGAAATTGGGGTGAGGTGAGGGCAGCAGTCCCCAGGTTCTCTGGAGCCATCAAGTCCTGGGGTGGGGGCTGCACGGTGGCGGCCCGATGACCCCAGAACCTCTTGGCCACATGTCAACACCCTGTCTCTGGACACACATCACCAGCTGCTTGCTGGATCCTCCCTCCTGTTGGCCATGCCTGCCCACTCGGCCCTGAACCACGTGTGTGCTGGGCATCGGTCCACTCTGGAGAGGGACCAGGGTTGCCCTGGCACACTGGGGGTCACCACGGGCTGGGACCTGCCCCCCCGCCAGACAGCCACAGTGGGTCTCTGGGCACTGGGGTTCCCAGGAAGTCCCAGGGGACCCCAAGATGTGCCAGGACCAAGCGGCTGCCCCCGTTTCTTCCCCAGCCTCGGCACCTGGTCCCCATCCCCGCTTGCTCAGACCCAGGCTCGGTGGCCACCAACCCTCCACGTGCCTCCACTGGCCAGCCCTGCTGGGCCAACTGGTCTGCTCCCCTCCCCCACAGCCTCTACCAGGACAGTGTGTCCCAAAAGCCCCTCCTCATCAACCTCATCTCTCCCTCTCCACAGCAGCCCCTAAAGCCGCTGCCTAGGAAGGAGCTCCCCAACCACCAGAAGGGCACCCTCAGGCTGGGCATTCTCACCAGCCCTCACCCTGCCCTGTCCCCGTAAGCCCTGATTACTCCAGGCTCGAGTGGCCATCTCATGACAAAGCTGTCCTGCCATAAGTCCCCAGCACAGCCATCTGGGCATTGGTGAGATGCCCCCCTTGGCTGTCCAGGCCTGGAGGCCCCTGTGCTGCCCAGCCAGGAGCTGACATGAACGAAGGCTGTGCACAGCCTGACCTGGAGCCTTCCGGTCCTGAGACACAGCCGCCTGCCACCCAGAGGGAACTGAGCCCCTGCCCTTCAACGGCAGAGAAGGCAGGCCCCCAAGAGGGCCTACACAGCAGCGTGGAGCCACTGGGCTGAGAGCATGGGGCCACCAGAACCTCCCTCAGACAGACACTGCCCGTCACCCATGGACTGATACAGGTCCTCCGACGACAGCGCCCCAGACAGACACCGCCCAAGTCACCCACGAGCCGTTACGGCACCTCCGACGGCAGCATCCCTGTGAGCCACGGAGCCACGGTACTCCACAGGGCCTGCGGGGCCGCATCACAGCTCAGAGGACACAGTGTAGGGGCTGCGATCAAAGGCACGGGTTTGCCAGCAAGATTCCTCTCCAGGACACCCGTGGAGCCGTACGTTTCCCTGTTTATTCAGGCAGCACATGCACATGCCCTGTGAGCTCCAAGACCCCCAGAATACCACCTTCCCGGCTCCTACCACGCGTGGGGTATCAGGGCTACACCCTTCCTCTCCTTCTCAACAGGACACTCTACACATGACACCACTCGAGAGGCAGCCTCGGACGCCTCTGAGGCTCACGCCAGCCATGCAGACAGGGCAGCCCAGCAGCCCTCACACCACAGATGGGTGGCAGGTCAGGGTGACACGGGTGGGCAGGGTGACACGGGTGGCGGGGCAGGGTGGCATGGACGGGCAGGGTGGCATGGGCCACACCAGGCCTGGGGAGTTGATGGTGGTGCCAGGGGAGGGTGCAGAAGGGGCCTGGTCCCAATACCACCCACACCTCTCTCAGGGCCGTAGCCCCAACTCCTCCCCATCCAAACCAACTGGGCTTCCCTCAGGGCCATATTCACTCTCCTTCAACGCACATAAGAACTGGCACCGCCTGGGGCCACCCAGAGAGACAACTCAAGGTTAATGTTTGGCTTGACAAAAGGCCACCCAAGAGATTTCTGACTTTACAGGAAAAAACTGAACGTTTCCTCGTGGGAGATACCACATGGAGTGTGTGGCTGGACGGGCTTCTGGAAGGGACGGTCAGTGACGCAGGTGGCATCTTGTGGGTTACCCCGACCCAGTGTGGGGGAGAGTAGTGGGCCCTGGCCACTGCAGCCGACAATGGAGGACCTGGGGGGCCAGACACTCCCAGCACAGAGCTCCTACCCACAACTACCAAAATCCAGCGACCACCAGAGGACCCCGGTACTCCGACCAGCGTTCCCTCAGGCGATGCAGTTCAACCACAGAACCTGGAGGACACCACCTGCTGCCTCCACCACCTCCTGGCCACCCCTGGGCCCTGAGCCAGGCCTGCACCGTCAGCACCACCCGGACGGAGCCCTCTCCAGCCCTGAGTGCAGGGGAAAACAAGAAGTCCTTCTAGAAGGAGAGTCACTCGGGTAAACACCTCACAGGGCACACGCCTTTGACTTGGGCACTGCGTGGGGAGCTCCAGGGCACAGCCGGGCACAGAGCGCTGCCTGAAAGGTTCTCAGCAACACTAGTGGTACCAGCCATACGCCTCTTGGCTCAGGGACGCCACCATCAGCTCAGACCAGGTCACACTCTGGGGGCAGTGGCCACAGGAAGTTGAAAGGGCTAGTTACAGTCAGAGGAGAAAAACTGCCAGGCGAGCCAGGTGTGGCTGAACAGCCACCTCTGAGCTCCAAAGGAAGAGACTGGGCCTCTTGAGCCTGGGGCCCGTTTCCTGGAGAGCGTGACTACTTCTGTCCAGCGTTCCTCCAGAAAAAAACGTATTAACAGAGTGACTGTTAACAGTGGCTGTCTGCTGGATAATGGAACCTTACACTACAAACGTCCAAAGAGTGGGGAGCTCCCAGCCCTTGGAGGAGGCAGACAGGACCAGCCAGCACCTCCAATCTCCCCAGGACGTGGCTGGGGCCGGTTCTGCGCCAAGCCCACAGGACTGGGCCAACGCTCATCCCACTCAGCAGACGGACAGGACCAGCCCACAGTCCCGTGCACCCGGGGCCAAACCTCCCCTCCGCCACTGCCATGTTCTCAGGTTAATGACAAGTGTGCAGAAGGGAAGATCCTACTCACTGACATTCCCAACCACATGTCCACCTCTCAGAACTAACAGCTGCCCTGGTCAAGGCTGACAGGACGAAGTGCATGCTGCGGACACGGCAGACACCTCAAAAACGGCCAGGCAGGTGGACAAGGCACCCTGGACAGTGAGCAGATGCAGCCCCACTGCAAATCCCTCCCAGAGTTCTGCAGAGGACGCCACCATGGAAGCAGGTGCTCAAAGATGGGCGACAGAATCACAGAGGGCAAAACGCGTCTGCAGAGCTGACAGTGCCAACCAGGAGCCAAACCCAGATCCTAGAGGGAGGTGGCCAGGCCTGGGCGGGCAGGGGAGACCTGGTGCTGAGGCCCAGGGCAGAGCCACGCCCTACAAAGTTCCAGGACACAGAACGAGGGACCCCCAAACCGCAGCTGTCATCCTCAGCTGCAACGGCAAATAGTTACCCCACGGTGCTGCCCCAACCCTGCCCCAAGCCGCAGACGGGTACACAGACGCGCACAGGCCACGCGCTAGGAGCTCAGCGAGGACTCCCGTGGCGCGGGCCCAGCCACCAGCGCCGTTTTCTTCCCGAGGGACGTGTGCTCCCTGCCGAGCTCCTACAGAAACGGTGGAGAGGACTTGGGGGGGGGGGTGCTCGGGCTCCATGGAGCACCGTGCGCACCCGCCGCCTCGGCCCTGACTCCGGGCCCTCTAGCCCCAACTCTCAGGGTTTCACCTCCCCACTCAGGGAACCGGGAAGGGCGCGACCGCCTTCCCTTATCCCCACTGGAAGGGAATTCTGTCCCAGCAATCGCGGAGACTACAGCAAAAGGGCTCTGGCCCCGGCCGGGCTTCTGGACACCGGTGCCCTTGGAGGCCGCCAGAGAACGCTCCAGCTTTGGCCCGGGGATCAAGCGCGCGGGCTCTGCCTTTGCAGCCGGGTCGAGGGAGAGAGAGGCTCCGCGGAGCGGCCCGGGCCGGCCCAGGACGCGGGCGCTGCAAGATGGCGATGGCCGTGCGCCCGGCGTCCGCCCGTGCTCCCTGCTTCCGCGGCCGCAGTCGGCGAGGAAGGCGCCCCGGGACCCGGGCCGGCACAGGCAGAGGCAGGTGGAGGCGCCGGGCCGGGCCGGGACCTCGCGGAGTTCGCGGGAGCGGAGACCCCCGGGGCCCTCCCGCGTCACCGCCGGGGGGCTGCGCTTTCGGCCCGGTCTGAGGGCGGCGGCCTCCTCCACGGTCAAACCCGGCGCCCGGGCCCCGTCCCCTTCCCCCACAGCGCGCGGCCGCGGTCGCCGGCAGCCTCAGGGCGGGAGGGGGCGCGCCCCCGCGAGTGGCCCGGGAGCGCGCGCCCCAGGACACCCGTAGCTGCGCACGGCGCAGCTCCCACCCCGGTCCCGCAGGCCCAGCCGCGGTGTCGTGACCGGGGACGGGGTAGCGGCCGGGGATCGGGACTCGGGACTCGGGGTGCCGTCCCGGGTCCCATGGGGCTGGGGTCGGTGGAGCAGCCTGGAGGCCCACGGGCCCCTTTGTGTCACCTGCGCGGGCCGCGGGCGGGGAGGGCACACGGCGGCGCTCGCTCACACGCAGCGGCTCGCGCATGCGCACGACCCTTGCCGCGGTCCCGCCCCCGACCGCGGCCACGCGCGGACGACGACGCGCACGCGCACTCGCACACAAAGCCGGCGGCCGGGGCGCGCGCTCGGCCCGCGGGCCGCGCGTCCCCGCCCGTCGCGCCGCCCGCCGCGGCCCCGCCCCGCCCGCCGGGCGGAAAACGCTGCGCGGCGCGCGCCTACGAGCGGCAGGCCCTTTGTAGCAAGTGCGAGCTGCTCCATCGAAGGCGCGAGCGGCGCCGGGCCCCGACCACTCCGGCGCGCTGCCCGCCGCGACTCCGGCGCGGTGGGTCCGGCTCGGTGCCGTCCGCCGCTCCCGCCCCGCCTGCGCCTGCGCCGCCGTGCCGAGCCTCCGCCGCGCCGCTGAGCCGCGCTCCGACGACCGCGCGGGCGGGGACACGGCGGCGCGCGCGGGCGGGGCCTCGCGGTTGGTCTCCTGGTTCCCGGCGCGGGCGGCGCACAGACTCACGCGGGCGGCTCAGGGCCCGCCCGGCCGGGCGCGGCTGCGGGGCGGGGCGGGAGCCTGGCGGGAAGCTCACGGGGGCTGCAGCCCGGCGGAGGCCCGAGGCCCGGTGTTCCGCACGTTCTAAACCGCCTGTCCCCGAGGAAGGCGGGCAGGGTCGGGCCGGGCTCAGCACCGCTGGCGGGAGCGCCGCCCGCCCCGAGGCCCCCCTGCGGGACGGCGCCGGGCCCGGAAGCCGAGGCAGGGTCGCCCACGTCAGCGCCCGGAACGGACCCGAACGTAAATGGCGCTCCTCCGCGCAGCGGCCGCCCCGCTCCCTTCCCGCCCCGCCAGCCGCCGCCCTCCCCCGCTCGCTTCTGGCCCCGCGGCCTGGCCCGTGCGCCTCCGAAGAGCTTGTCCTTGCGGTACCGCTGTCCCCGGGGCTGGCCAGGGGCACCGAGGCCGCGGGTTCCCCCCATCGCCCCCACCCGGGCCCTGATTTACCGTCCAAGAGCCGGCCGCACATGGGGCCCCGGGAGGAGAAGCGCGCCCGCCCCAGTTCGTCACCAGCCGGGGGTGACCCCGACTCCGGGAGGGGCCGCGTCCTGCCCGGCCCAGCGCGCTGTTCCCGGCCCGGGAAGTTCAGGGCTGGAGAACCCCCTTCTCGACCCCGTTTCTCCTTTAACAAGAGTAGGGATTGTAGCCAGCTCTGCTTCTGCCCGCTGCGGGAGACGCCCCGACCCGGGAGGGCCCGAAAGTCCCTTCAGGGAGAGGCCGCACCGGGCCTGCTCACCCAGGGGCTGCCCCTGCAGACTCTCCCGAGGGGCCCAGGGATATTCCTCGCGCCGCGAGTGGACGCTTCCATCCACCCCGTAGGGAGTTGTGGGGGGGCCTCTGCGCGTGGCTACTCTGAGCACACTGGAATGATCAGATAGTTGCATAATTTGAGAAACCACAGCCTGGAGACGGAATGATGCAGACTCCTATCCGAGAGACACCTGCTCTAGTTTCGCTGTGGTTCGTGAGGACGCGTCCTAGGCTGCCCTGAGAAGCCCATGTCTGCCCTTCCAGGCCTGGGAAGACCTCTGACCCCACTGACAGTGCTGGGCCCTCAGTCGGGCCTGCCATGCGTACCACTTTCTGTTCTAAGACCGGGCTGCCCAGCTGTGGCCTGGAGGAAACCTGGCAGGTGTCACCAGAGCTTTGGGGAGGGTGGGGCCCTGTCAGGGAAGCCCAGTGGGAGTCATGAAGGAGGGAACACGTGTGGAGCCCTTGTAGGGGGAGGGGCAGCCCTGCCGAGATCTAAGAAAATTCCAGAAAAATGAGCAGCAACCTCCAAGGCCAGACATCGGTGCAGGGGACAAGGGGTCGCAGATGGAGGGGCCTAGGTGAGGCTGCCGGGAAGGGGTGATGTGGTTGGTGGAGTGCACAGGCAGGGACCTCACTGGACTTTCCTATCTGCTCGGCATGGACAGGCAGCCCAGGAGAAGGCAGCAGGGACATGCCACTCCCTCTTTCCCCAGGGAAGCTGGGGACAGACGGGTCCCAGGCACTCCATCCTCTGCAGCAAGTCAGGTTGTGATTTACTGGGCATTGGTGAATAAAATGGAGAGGCTTCTGGGGAGAAATTCCTGGCTCCCACGTGGACTGGCAGAGCTCAACAGGCAGCCACGTGGCTGAGTGTCCAGCAAACATCACATAAGGCTTTGGGTCCTGTAGGTGAGGCTGCCCTGAGCAGCAAGCTCAGTCCAGAAGAGCAGTTCCTCTCCAGGATCCATTTCCTGCGCACTTTTATGTCCAGTGTAGCTGGAGCAGAGCTCGCTGGAATTCCACAGGCAACTAAGAACGGAGAGGGATGCATGCCAGCCAGGGATCCGTCGTCTTCCCCATCAGCACGCCCCATGGCCTCCGTCTGCACAGTGTCCCTCTGCACAACTTGTCAGTGTGTTATCACGACTCTTATTTGGCCCTGGCCCGTCCCACTGTCCTGGCTTGTTCCAAGTGCTTCCTTCTCCAGCTGTGGTTCTGGCTGCAGAGCTGTCTGCTCCCCACGTTGGGCAACTCCAGCCAAGATTCCTACACCCAAATGTGACCGTGTTGCTCACAAAGAAGCCTCAGCTTTGTGTGCACCCAGCCGTGTGCACAGCTCGTCCCAACCCCAGTAGGCGCTGCCTGCCTCTCCCACCTCCAGTCCTTGCCATGATGAGCAGATGACCCCCGCCCTCCAGGGTCAGTGTTTGGCTGCTCTTGTGCCTGCCCACCTGCCTCCCTGTGCCCGGGCCTGTCATGCGCCTGCACACAGGAGGGTCTTGTGGCGTTTGCCCTACACGGATGGGCTGTCCTAGGAGCTGCTGGAGAGTCACCTTGGTGGGGATGCCAGAGGCCTGGGCACCAGGTTCCCCCCGGCCAGCCTTCATTCCCACACGGGGTATTTTTGTCCATCACGTGGGACAACCTAGGATTGGGAGAAAACTCAGTCCACTCTGAAGAAGCATCGGCATTTTGGATGGACGAATGCTGCTTCATGCGACTCCAGGTCAACGGACTATATTATTCAACTGGGGTATTTATGAGTGCTCCTGTGTACCAGCCACGTGTGAAAGAAAAACTCCAAGTTACTTGACACCAGGACAAACCAGGTAGATCACTGCGTCTGGTTCCTCCTCTTTCTGCTAACTCTCCTGGACCACCGTTCTGATTTCTGGCACAGAGTTGGGGGCAAGCTCATCAGTACCCAGAGCGTCTGGTGTGCAGCCAAAGGCCCCCATTTTATCAGTCGGTGTGTTCAGTATCACACTCAAGACAAGGGCCACCCTATTACTTCACATACCTCAAATACAAAAAGTGCCTGGGAACGTTGATGAGGTGTTAAAGGAAACCACTGGTGTTGTCAGTCATGTACACACAGAAAAAAAGTCATTTTTATTTATTTATTTATTTTGAGACAGAGTTTCGCTCTTGTTGCCCAGGCTGGAGTGCAATAGTGCAATCTCAGCTCACTACAACCTCAGCCTCCCGGGTTCAAGTGATTCTCCTGTCTCAGCCTCCCGAGTAGCTGGAATTGTAGAACACCCATCACCACGCTCAGCTAATTTTATGTATTTTTAGTAGTGATGGGGTTTCACTGTGTTGGTCAGGCTGGTCTCAAACTCCTGACCCTCAGGTGATCCACCCGCCTCAGCCTCCCAAAGTGCTGAGATTACAGGCGTGAGCCACTGCGCCCGGCCAAAAAGAACCAAGAAATTTTTAACAATAAAATGACCAACAAGTAAACTTAAAACAAAAATGGACAAATATCTAAAATATTTCAAAATGTATATATTTTAATTGGCAAATAATAATCGTATATATTGTTTACAACTTGTTTTAAAATATGTATACATTGTGGAATGGCTAAATCAAGTTAATTAACATGCACTAACTCACATACTTGTTTTTTGGTGTGGTGAGAACACTTAAAATCTACTCTCAGCAATTTTCCAGCACACGATATATTGTTACTAACCATAGTCATCATGTCCTACTATAGATCCCTATAACATATTCCTCCGATGTAACTGAAATGTATCCCTTGACCAACATCACTGCCCAGCCCCAGCGCCAGATAAACACCATTCTAGCCTCTGCTTCTGCGAGTTCAGCTTTTCTAGATTTCACCTGTAAGTGAGATCATGCAGCACTTGTCTTTCTGTGCCTGGGTTTTTCAC